CAACAAAGCCCACATGGAAGAAGCACACCAGCCTGTGTGATCATGAGGTGTCAATGGGATCAGGTATCAGGCATCTAAGACCCAGAACACAATCACACCCAACGTGAATGGTGGGGGTGGGGGTGGGGGTGGGGCATGAAGTGGAGACCCAATGCGCATCTGTAGACAATTGGACATCCCCTCACAGAAGGATCACAGGGAAGAGATGAGCCAGTCAGGGTGCGGTATGCACAATGAAACACACAACTTTCCTCTAGTTCTTTGATGCTTCCTTCCCCCCACTATCATGACCTCAATTCTACCTTACAAATCTGATTAGACCAGAGCATGCACACTGCTACAGATAAGAGCCAGAAAAACAGGGAATCCCTCAAGGCCAACAAGGAGAGTAGAGATACCAGGAGGATTAGGGGAGGGTCGGGGAAGAAAGTGGGAATCGATGATGAGGATAGCTATATAAACCCCTCCCAGGGGGACGAACAACAGAAAAGTGGGTGAGGGGCGACGGAGGGCGATGTAAGATATGAAAATAATAATCTATAACTTATCAAGGGTTCATGAGGGATGGTGGGTAGGGGAGGGAGGGGGAAGAAATGAGGAGCCGATATCAGGGGCTCAAGTGGGAAGAGAATGCCTTGAAAATGATGATGGCAGCACAGGTGCAAATGTGCTTGACACTGGATGAATGTATGGATTGTGATGGGATGTAAGAGCCCCCAATACAAGTACTTAATACAAAAAAAAAATTACAGTCTTAGAAATCCTATCTCTGGTCACTCTGAGTCCAAATTGTGGGTCCAGCCATGTTTTAGTCTAGACCATATTGCTTACATCTGTGCATCCAAACTTTTCTAGTTACTGAGTCAGTTCTCCAGCAGCCATGGCAGAGATGCTGGTAGGGATTGTCTTGCCGTAACACAGCCTGTGTGCCATTTGGAATAAGGATGAAAACACTTTTATTTTATAAACAAATGGCATAATCAATAAGTATTAACCATAGTGACTATTTCTAGTTAGGTTGTTTAAGGCAGATTTGTGAAATAGGTACCTAAGAATATGAAGTGATGTCTTAAAGGGAAAGCAAACACTCAATGGGAAGGGGAGAGGGGACAAAAGAAACAAATGAGCAAAGGAGGCTTGGGGAAGTAGAAGGAATGAACGACCTTAGCTGACCAGGAGTCAAAGAGACAGCAAACATAACGCCAGATCTAGAGTATTTGAATGGAGGTCCAATGTCCTTTTGCTACCTTAATACTAAACCTATAAATGTAGGCACATAGATCTATTTCCCCATCCTCATATAAATATATTTGCATATGTAAATGTTTTTATCTAGACCTCTATAAATGCCCTTTGCCTCCCAGCTCTTTCCTCTATTTCCCTTGACTTTCCTCCTGTCCCACTATCA